CATCCAAAAATCTTGCAGAACCAATATACAGCCTGCACCTTTTGTTATTGAGAAGCTGTTTGAAGATTGACTTAAGTAACCTTTAAAATGAGGAAATGCCAATAATTGATAAACCTTCAATCCAGCATGCCACAGACAAAATATCAGCACCCTAGGCGTTTGGTTAATGAGAAGTCGTTTAAATATTTAGACATATCTCATTTGAATGGAAAGTAAAATTTCTGTGTTCTGTGAACACAGAGATACCTGTAAAAGTACAAGGAAAATGTCCAGGTACGTAATGTAACGGACCAGACAGGCAAACTAACGAGCATCAAACACGTCCTACTTCATATCGCGCAAAGAAATATATTTCTCAATGAAATCACTATGGCGACCATAAATCTTAACCACAATTTTCATCAACCTGCATATTTTGAAACCCTGTGTGACGAGTTTCATAGAGACATTTTTTGTATCAATTAATCTTCATCCATCTTCAAAACTTACAACAAGGAAACAAAGCATCTCACAATGAAACAAGATGTGAGCAAAATATCATGTATCATCCTTCTTCAGTATAATAGGGGTCGCAATCGCTCAGGCAGTAAAACCTTGTATTATGCGACCTCAAGTGAAATTCAAGGAGACAAAAAGTTAGTGGTGCGCTCCCTAACAGGCATTTACTTCATGTTGATTATAACGGAAATATTAAACAATACCAGAATCAGATAAAGATACGAGAATACCTACAACAGTCCACTTGTCAAAAAGAAAAGTCTGCATTCAAAAAAACAAAAATATAAAATATCGAAAACAAATGTGCATTCTGGTGGAAATAAATGGAAAACTATGAGCAACCGGGTAAAGTTCATAAACTATATTACCGATGTGTTTCACCGAAACACTGAATGATACCAAAATATTACATGCTTATGGAAATACTACATACCCATCCCGCCTAATATTGTCCTAAAATCATCAGACCAGTAAATCAAACCTGCAACAAGAAAGAAGAATATTCTGCAATTTATTTATGGGGTGAACTTTAAAAAACCATAAAACATATGCGTCTTCATTTCTATGTCACGATGGTTCAGAGAATGTAGTCGCGGAATTAACAACCTTAAGTACAGATCCGAGGTTAGTGATTTGATCCCAATCTGGCGTAATGCATATGTGTATTACATCTGATAGCTTAATAATACTGGAACGTAAATATCCTAACGGAAGCACTACATACCACGAGAAAATCTTGTTCCTGCCATTTCAAATTCATCCATGTCTTCCATAGATTCTGTAGAGACACTTTCTTCCAAAGAAATCTTTCCAAAATTGTCAGCTGAAATTTTTTGTTGATGTTTGCAAACTGATACAATTTACAACAAAGAAATAGTATAATCCATAACTCAATGATGTTATGAATTTCAAAACAATAAAACTTGTCCATCTCCATCACTATGTAGAATCGCGACTGCTTAGAAAATAGGAGCCTCGCACTCCGTGACCTCGGGTAAAGAGGAGAGCCAGTATTAAGTGCTCTATCACGATGCATCAGTGGTTTTATGTGCATTTAACCAGAAATAATAACCAGACCATTCCTGCATGTCAACATATCAAAATCATAAATAATACCAATATGATGCTTGCTGCCGTACTACATACCACTAAAATCGCAGCTAGATGTTAGCTCATTTTCATCGATGTCTTCCATAATTCCTGGAGACGCCTCTTTATCCAAAGGAAACAGTTCCGATGTGCCACCTTAAATAGCAACAATCATTTCCTGATTATTATATTGAACATTTACAACAAAGAATATTCCCTAACTCAATTATGATATAATCATTAAAACTATATGTGTCTACCTTCATCACAATTCAGTTGCTCAGTTGGTAGAATATTGGACTTCACAAACTGAAGTTATAAACGAAATACCATTTATCACAACAAAACTCTGCATTCAACCAGAAACATTAACGGAAATAGTTATATTTCAAAAGTATGTGTTCCGGTGGAATAAGCGGAAACGTTGGAACTAACGCTACTAACATCATCGATACTGTATCACCAATGTATTTCACCGGAAATAGATGATACCAGAATATGATATGCTTACAGAAATACTAATATTATGATAGAAGGTCCCAATAAAGTATTTAAGGGGTCTCAAGCACTGAATTTGATTCACTGTAAATTATCTTAGTATGACCAATGTACACGCCACATTTCATCATCCTTGTTTAGATGAAAGCAAAGTTATGCTATATACAAAAAGTGTACATAAAATTTCAACAAAGGGCACTAACTCCATAATTAAGGGCTCGCAGACCATGACTTTTGAAAATTGTCAACAACTTTTAGGAAAATGGCAAAAACATTGTACTTAACAAGTTAACTGCATGCCGTCTTTTGCATCAACTAGTGTATACCGGTACACCATATTTCAATAGCCTAGTTTAAATGCACGTATTTAGGTTATGCCTGGCACCCAAAATTTTGAATAAAGGGCGACCCTATTATTGGTATACTGTACATCGCCTTAGTATGACCAATGCATCCACCAAGATTCATGATCCTTGCTAAACTGTGGACAAAGTTATGCTCCGGAAACGAAAGGACGGACGGACAGATGGACAAAGCGACGACGATATTCTCCCCTGAAGTTCTTCTGGGAGCAAACAACTGTTCCTGTCCCTATTGATAATATCAATTTGATATAATCTTCAACGAAGAAATAGTATATACAGTAACTCAATTATGGTATGAACTTAAAAAGTCTAAAACATGTCCATTTACACCACTATGCGGTAACGCGATTGTTCAGAAGATAAGATGACAAGACTTCAGGTGAAGATCTTATAAGATCCAAGATAAGTGGCTTAATCCCTATTGGGCATTTGGTTTATGTTCATTATACCTGCCACTTCCAATCTTGTAAGGTCCTGAACGTCACGACGGCGAACTGAAATCACAAAAAGCTTTTCATGATAATTTCAACATTTTGATATATCTACATGGTCACATCCTCAAGTTAATGATGACATGATGCACAAGTGCCTGTTTACAAGACAATTCGTCGTACTTTGCAACATATAAAGATCCCACGTTGGTGGTTTTATACTGGGAGTGCTAGATGTGCTTAGTGACACAAGCTTATGGAAATACTTCCTTACCGAAATAACCTTCCCAGAAATATGAGTTATTGTCTTTTATAAATCCACGTGACACATCCTTCGCTGTTATATGGCCATCCTGGTCCACCTCAAGAGGTAAAACCCTGTAAAGTACAGGTCCATACACACATGCCTTTGATTCTGTTTTGTTGGTGTATGAACCATGTGCTTCCATCTCTCTCGGTAAAGAAGCCTGGAAAACATTGCATTACATTTCATACCAAACATCAGTTAACTTTAGGAATAAACTAGTTTTAATAGGAAACATCCCTTTTATATCTCATCGAATTGTACATAAGCATGTAATTTATGGCCTTTAACTTGATTAATGTTATTCGGAATATGATCAAATATTAGAAAAGACTACAGTAAAGCCAGCATAGACACAAACCATTCGGTTTTTACAGCTTTTTACATTAACCAATACTTACCAATTTCATAAGCAATGCGTTGTTCTTATTACACCTGTACAATGAATAAGAGAATAATAATATTTCGTCAAGCATACCAAACCATCTATTTTGGATTCCAATGATTTCTTGAGGTGGCCTTCAATATGTCGTTCTGTTTCCTCTGTGGCTATACCAATTGTAGGATCATCCGGCATTTCGGCTGATACAATTGAATTGATGATGCAGGGAATAAATTGACTTAACATCTTTTCCTGGATGTACTCCGATTCCATGTTCAGTTTCCTTGTTAAAGGAAACAGCAATGCTGATATATTGAAATGTTAAACAGAGTGTTTCAAATAACGGAACTATAACATTGGCACATTGCATATACAATTTCTGAAAGGTTTAATAGAGTATTAAGGACAGAGAAACCGTTTCATTGGTACATATACAATTTCTCAAAGGCTCAAAAAATTTTAAGGATGTTTATCGCTTTGATAAGTGTTACAGGATTGACCCAAAACTGATATCGTCTGGATATCAATGAAATATATGCTATTGCCATTCGTTCACTCCTTTTTGCATTCCTCCATGTCATTACAATATTTAAACGTAGTCTGGTATAAATTACGGCATTCCTAAACCTGAAGATAATGACACGCTTGATTTACAATTCTGTCCGTGTTATCACGTGTTTGCAGGGTCATCTGCTATACGACTGAAAACAAGTGAGCAGTAAATAAAATGGTGTATTGGAGCTTTATTTGTTGTTATAACTAAAATGGTGTAGAATATACCTGCAATGTTAGCCCGGGTAATCGAACATGTTAAGAGGATCTGAATTTTTTCCGTTTAATATGTGATCTATGAAATGAATCCAATATTTTTTATCTTTTAATTTTAACAAGTCATTGACGAGATGAATTAAACAGAAAGGTATGATGAATTCCATAAATCGCATTTCAAATTGAAATTTACGTAAGATAATTAATAAACCTAATAGTAGTAAGCTAGAACCATTCCATTCTCAATCAGGGTTCCTATTATACTTTTCCTATTACACCTATTACACTCAATCAGGAGGGAAAGTTAACGGAGTATCACAATCCATAATTATCATAAGAGGTGAAAATTGCGAAAAAAAAGTGTAACCTATGCCGATTTCAGGAAAAGGACGCGACACATCTTGAAGACTGGATGATGTTGATATATACTGCCAGATAATTGTAGGATATTTAATTTTTTCAGAGAACATCGCATTCTGAAGAGATCTGCTTTATATATCATGATCTACCCTGACCAAACAGAATATCAGCAATTTTGATGGCCAATATCTTATCATAATTTCTCTATTACAATAGCGATTATTAAGTTTATAGATAAATCATATGTATTGGCGCACTTTTCATAACTAATCTACGAACCCTTTTTATCTCAAACAAGTCCAATACTTTCAAGTTAAGTGTTAAATTGACCAATCACTGCTCACTCTAGAACAAGGAACAAGAATACTCCAACTTGCAAATAAAATTTGAAGAAAAAAAATCACGATGTTGTGGTTTCAGCAGAAATACAATTGTATATCATTACACTGATCTGAGTTGTTTTTCCAGCTCACTCCTTACTAGCGATGTAATTCTTAACTCTCTTATAGGATTGCTCCTTTTTATTGTATCAGTGGCGCTGGCCCCTACACCATCAACATCAATACTGGCATGTATCATTTTCTCCCAGATCGTCTGTGATAATGGCTCAGTCCTGCTCTTCGTTTGGAAGTGGAAATTTTGATTTTCGCATTCTTCAAGAAATTCAACTAACTGTAAAGAGAATCAATCAAGTGAACAGAACAGACAACAATTCACTTAATAAACATGTGAGGACATTAATCAACATATTTTATTTATATATAAAAATGGTTTGCAAGGCATTGCCAAATTTTTAAAACTAAACAGATAAATAACAAAAATAAAGAATAAATCAGATAAAATGAAACCATCAAAACGTCCTTGACTTCCACATTGAGAAAAGACCTCGTTTTGAGCAACGTATATTATTAAGGTTCTTAGACAAATCTCTTCACATTTACATTACCCTTTCCAACGCCAGAATCATTTTCCGTATATAGATAGTACTCACATTTTCGTCTGTTTTAACAGAAATATATTTCTCCCATAGAACCTTTATAATAAAACTTCGGGGTCGTTTCCAGACGAAATTTCCAAGTCTGGTATCGGTGTCCAATAGCGAGATGGTTTGCCATCCTTTATTACGATACTCATCTTCTTCAAGAATTAGCTTTCCTAATTTTTGCCGGCTGGCCATCTACAAAACAATGAAATATATCGTAATTTCTACATTTCCAATAACATCATGAAATGAAGTGTTAACTGATATGCTTTATCCTGTTAAAAGAAAAGGTGTTTTATTATACTTTTTTCTTTGGGATAAGCAATGCAATGTTTATCACAATCACACTGATGATCATGGTAGTCTCAGCAATGAAGAACGTTATGGTTGCGATTTGCGATACAAGAAATTGATAATTGTGTTCCCCCATTTTTGTATTATTTGAATAACTACCAGTGATGTTTCTTTTTCATCTGATTCATCAATTGATCGATAATGTCTATTAAAGTTTTTGACGTATTGCACAATATACAAACAGTACTTTTTGTTCCTGTAAACACCCGAGGAAAGTAAAACAGTAAAGTGTCACTTTGTATTGGGATTTGCATCCTTTAACTTGCTGCAATAAAAAATGTTATCGTTTACGAAGGCTGTGAACTTTAACAATATTGTGTAAATGTACATAAACCATCATTTATTATTACAATTATCCTCTTTATTGCCTTCAAAATGAAGGGTACAAAATATATCAAGTATGTAATACGAAACATGCAGAACATATATACACGATTATATAATAGACAATACAAGTATACCTTCCATACACGTGTGTACATATTCAGCATCATATTATAGTTCGCGATAGTCTCCGTAAACGATTCATTTTATTGTAATGAGACTATGAACGCATAGTATGTAGCATAGAAACACTACAATACACATATTAATTGAATCTATGAAATCAACCTTGTACTTTTTGTTAGAGTACACGCATAATACGTAGTATAGATACATTACATTATATTGTGACTATGACGTCACATTTGTAGTTAAAATTATGTATTGGTGTATCTAGAGTACACGCATAATACGTAATATACATATATTATAATGACACTATGAAATCAACGTTGTAAATAAATTTATATCTATGGAATACACATCATGGGTAGCATAGATTCATTGCGGCTTCAATTTTGAAAAGATAATGTGGCCGAGTGGTTATTACGACAATATTACCGATAATACAACTTCCGACAGTTTTTCTATAGCTTCTACTGAAATTAACCTGAATTCATCCACATCTTCATTGTCCATCAAGTAAAACTGCGTTAGTTCATTATCTGACACGGAATGAAGATACACACTAAACAAAACACCTGTATCACTAATATTAGCTATTGAACACCACAACTGATATCGTAGAACAACGTTGTGGATACATTTTAATATATGGGTTAATGCGTCTCGATACATATTTCCACATTTGTGACATAAATCTGTACATTCGTTAAAATTAGAAACAACAATTTTCGTAATATAATATATGATTGCTTGTAAACTGGGTATTTCATTGCAAGCATCCATAATATATGCGGCTCTAGTTTATATATATATATATATATACAAGTTTAAACCTGTTAAATTCACTATCGCCCTGCATTCTCTCTTCATTCTCGTTTTTCTCAGCACAGATGTCCTAACTACATTTTTTCCCATTACAGTTTAGAAGGAAAAGAATAGACGTTTTGAGTACTTATCAATTTTTTTTTTTAAATCGTATAAAATTTTTATTTTGTTTTCGCATCCATTCAGTATTCATGATACAGTCTCGTTATAAATATACTATATGTTAAGGTATTTTTGTTTAAGTGACCAAATCTTCCAAACAGTTTCTTTGTATTTATATAACCCTCTATGGGTGTCTATCCAATTAGTCCACAACACGTCAGTTCGGATGTGTTATCAAATCCCTGAATTTCAGATACATTAAATCTATGTGCTCTCTCTAACATCAGCGCTTCACTCCTAGATAAATCCCAAAGCTGACAACTACAGAGTGCTGACGTATACATTTTGTTTGATAAGTTTACCAGTAGTTACTGGGTTTGCTGCAGTAGGGTATGCGCCACTCTTATCTAAACACGCTGTACCACGTTTTAACTGACTGCATGCACGTCTTGTTCGTTCATGCGAATGAAATCTTCAGTTTAACATAATACCCACATTGACAACATTTTCAACTTCAGGTATAACTTTATGGTATCAATAGAAAACTGTTTGGAATTTTTTAAAAAATGTTTTAACCAAAACACGTTATTTTACTTTTGACAGACGAAATCAAAAGCCTCAATTTTTACTATAAATCTCACACATCTTTAACATACATTCTAGATCATGACGTCTATTACTTATGTGTCGTATGTCGGCAGCTTAAGTAGGTACATTTTTCTCTGATGTTGCCTACCATTGACCCTTTACCACACTTTCGATAGGTATAAATCTAGACTGTATACCACTGAACACTACTTCTGACCCCAGTGTATATTCCCTTAAACAGGTTCCATACTTAAACCAACCTCATTAAGTTTGAATAGCAGTCCAGCGTACCACACCGTATCGAAGGCCTTGTTACTATCTATAAAAGTGACGTACACATTTTCACTATCCTATTTATCCATCGGTTCTGAAATTATCTGGAGTGCATCACACGCACATTGGATCTCTCCAAAAAGCTCCCCATCGACACCTCGGACGCAATGTGACTGTTAATGCCATATACACGTAAAAGCGACAAATTATCCGCTTCTCCAGACTTTCATACTCTATAACACCGTTTAAACAAAACTGGTCCCTGTTCCCCAAAGCATGCATAGTTCGATATAAATCAATTCCACGCGTTATATCATAGACTTTCACTTTTTCATATAATTTGTTTCCAATAATTGTAGTGTTCTTTTCCCCCCAAATTTCTAACCAAGCAATATCTCATTACTATCTCACGTTGTTTTTACTATTAGTCTTACATATGCAAACCTTCCCCCTCGAGTCTGGTGCGCTTCAGAAATATTTCAGGGTAGACTGAATATCTAAGTGTACAAACAGCTTCTTCCGAGAACTGTACAGTTTCCATTAATTCTTATTGTCTGCCCACACACCAGTCAATGTGTTACGTTCGAAAAATGTTATCGCAATTGAACGAGAATGACGAAGACATGTTTTAAAGAAATGGCATTGAAGTATGTGGTGTCTGTGTGTATCGTGTGGTGTATCTGCTAGCCTAACAGGGGCGCAGCTAGCCCAGCAGAAAAGAGTAAGCCCAGACGAGGGGTCTGAATTTCATGATTTCAAAGATGTTTTGAATCGTTTTCTGAGAGTTTTTTTATTTATTTAACAACAAATTTCAACCCCTGATATTTATTTCAACCTTAGTTTTGTAATTTTGTCTGACATACTTCATGCACAGATTTTTTTTTTATATAAGCCCGGGTTTTTTCTGTCTATGGAAGCTACGCCCCTGCCTAATAGCGGAAGCCCTAGTTCCTGTGTCGTGGTAATGATTCAAGAGTGTAAACCAGAATATCTGTGTATGTTGAATCATTGTACAAATTTGAGACCGATACTCTTCCTCGTGTGTTACTGTATTATGTAAGAGTGTAAATATGAAGATCAGCAAGCTATGTCTAGGTCAGATCGTTGTATACACGTGAGATGAATTACAGAATACTCTAGCTCATGTGGTTCAGTGATTTGTTCATCTCATTTTTTCGTCGACTGTCTTGTTCACTATCGTAAACAGACTTATTGGACAAAAGTAAAGATTGTCACATAAATTTATACGTTTCATTGAATGATAGATAATGCATTAGAGATATAAAACTCTAGTTTATGAACATACCTTTTAAAAGTAATTAAAAAGTTGTAAAAATCATCGAAAATCAGTATCCGTCAGTTTCCCACTGAGCGCGTCCATACTAGATAGCGCGCGCTATGACGTCACGGTACACAGTAACATTCTGCACGCTATATGCCGGAATTTGGCACTCGGACCCCAGATGAATACAGAGACAGTCGCGACCTACACATCTTCATCAAAGTGAGATTTTGATATTAGTTTTGTATTAGAATATTTTATTAGAATGCGTTCATATGTCATTTATTATTAATAGTCGATAGTTGTTTCATCAATATATAATTTTTCAGACTGTAAATACATGGTCAGTGTTTGTTAAGCTGAATTTTGGCGAGGGTGAAGAAAGACAAAACAGGCCTCTGGCTGCCCTGAGCCAAAGTAAAGCTTATATTTTACTGGCCATGTATTCTATTTATTCTACAACACTGAATGAAAATCAGACTATCAAAACTTCAACAGTTTGTCGTTCAATCTTTCGTTAGGCTGACGTTGCCTGACGTTTTACTAAATTCTGCCTGATGATGAACACCTAAATAGCGAAGCTGCTCCACACCGAAATATAGTTCTAAACTTCAACGAATTTGGCAGCGATTTCGTTCATTTTTCGTATAAAAATGTTCATTAACACTTGTAAGATCGCTTGTTTCAATAGTTATTTATGTTGTAAATCGTGATGTACTAGTCACAAAACGTGCGGATCTAGAGATCACTTCATAAAGATAAATTAATTTGCATCAAAAGGCAAAATCTTATGGAATGTGAAATATAACATTGAAGACAAACAATAAAATACCCACTTTGAAACAGTTCCATTCAAGCGTACCGTGTAAGATTTCCCAACCCGCAAGAAATATTTCAGTGGGTTCAGCAACTCTATCAACAGTGAGTGTGTCCTCCGATGGCCCCAGTAACAGCGATTTTGATTTCAATTTCTACATATCTTAACACATGCACAGATGGCATACTGAGATATGCAATACATATAGAGTATAGAGTGCGCATGCGTGGCAGAGGGAATAAAGTCAATCGGGAATCCTCGGCACTATCCCCAAGCGAGAAAACCTCGCTTGCCGAAAGTGCCGAGGGTTCCCGACTGGGAATAAAGTATCATAGATGTAATGTACTTTAATAAACTAATATTTAACCAGGGGAATTTCGATAATAATATTTCTTAACAAAGGTACATAATCCCTTTTTTATGGCGCCTTTTTAGAGAACATGATATCCTTTAATGACAACACACTATGTCTAATAGTTAATCGAATATTCAAATGTAAAATGATACTCATCATCAATGTCCCTTTTATTGAAGTTTTGGCAGATGCGTTCTTAACTTGGTATATTTCTTCAACTTCCAATTGCGAAAGGTAAATGATTATTTTTAATCTAAATTTACAAAGGGTTAAAGCATCGTTTTTGATAGAATATTTAAGTAATTTTCAAAAACAATTTCGTCCTTAAAAACCCTATAAATGGTAGATTTTGGAGAGCTTTGGCATGTTTCTGTCCAGGTTTGTGTGACTTGATCAGTTAATGTAGGTTTTGTTTTTGAAAGAAGCCATTTTTGACAAATAGGATTTATGTTTAACATATAATGGTAAGTTATCAAAACTTATCGATTTCAATAATTAGCGGATGTCAATCGAGCTCTCGATATACCATTAAATAAGGAGTAGAGGATTTCAGGAAGTTTACAAAACTTTAAAGCATTCTTTCTATGACAGTGTTATTAGAAAAAAAAAACATACTCTACAACCAATAATACTGATGTCACTATTTCATCAATTAGTCCATTTGACACTGTATTGTCAGACTATGTAATCCACATGTTTTAACACCTCGTACATGTTTTTTGTTCCTTTAAGTGCATGTTTTCTTTTAGCTCTCATAAAATTTCTGGACTTAATGAATAAAATACCAAGATAATTACATTCCTTTACTATATCTAAGGCGTTTCCATAGAAATTGAATCTTACATGACCTGGCTTCCTCTGTCGATTGAACATCATTACATTTAAATTTGATATATTAACCTTCAAATTCAATTCATTGCAATAAATTCTGAAGTTATTAAATATTTCGGAGATCATCTGCACTTTCTGCTTCAGTGTGATCTGCATTTAAAAGACAGAATAATTTTAAATCCAAACTTGTCTTCCAATAATTAGGATATTATATTACGGCAGTTAACATTCTTAGTTGATAAGAAACCTCGTATATCATCAGGGCCTGATATCATTAAGAAAAAGGGAGAAAAGAAAAGACGACATACTTTCACCTTGTCTTAACCCGTTACACATTTGAAGAAGTTTGAGGTTTCTTCATTATTTACTATTTTGGACTTAATTTCGCTACACATTTCAACAAAGATTTTTCATGGAATTATGTATATGTAGTTTCACTTTCAAGGGAGGTAACTCTTCCATGAAACTTTGACGTTGAATCACATAGCTAATCGATACGCTTAATCGCCCAACGAACTGTTCAAGTTTAGTAGTGATTGACAGGTTCGCGCGACAGGTATTACGACACAGGTAGGCATAGGTTAAAAATCAGTGCTCAGTCATGCGGAAAAAGTACTCACGACCTTGGGACACCTTGGTATTGAAGTTCGATATATCACCATAAATTCGGAAGATTTCCTAATTTTAGGTGGATGAAATACTGTTTGATGTTATATCTCACAGTGAAAAAGTCCCTTCATTGCAAGTTTCATAACTCTTACACTCGAATCTTCGATTTAACACCGGAGCGATGTTAGGTTCGACCTCCGTATCCAACCCATGCGCAAAACACGACAAAGCTTGGCGTCCTACTAATGTCAGGAATTCCTGCCAATGAATGGCAGGAAAGTCAGGAAATGGCAGGAATGCATGTTAGTGGATTAAGTTTGTGTTTTATGAATTAAAATAAACAATTCTAAGTTAATTAAAGTATTTTACATGTTATTTTAATGTTTTACAGATTTTATTATATTTTAGATTGCACTTTGAGAACTAATGTGCAAGTCGTGATAAGTAGGCCTACTACTATAGTAAGTAATGGCGGCCGTCGATATTCATGGTAATATCGACACTTTATTGAAATGATTTTTGATGATCAAATATTTGAATTGATGTCAATGCAGGTGATCCTAGGAAGATGATATGGGGTTTATATAGATCTATTTGAATTTAATTATGTTTTCGTATTGTTTACCAAGATATAGATCTACAGCCAGTAGGCTACGGCAGTACGGTAATCCTGTCATTCATGACAATCGACTCGATCGACTCGTCCGTGAATCACTCATGTTCCTGGCTATCATATAAGTCTAAAATTGTGAGTGATAATGCCAATGATGTAAAGAATTAAATTTGATTTTTCATTTTAGAGAGTACAGTCATGTACAGTCACCTAAATCATCTGTAGTATGTCGTGTATTGTAGCCTACGTATACGGCTTTTACCTAGTAAAGGGCGATAAATCTTACATGTTCACAATCATTAATACTAAATATGACACTGAAATAAAGTGACAAAACATGTGTAAGATTCTATATACCGGTAAAGGTATTAATAAACTCTTATATTGTGATAAACTTTATTAATCTTGTTTACTTCCCCTGTACTTTGTTTTATTAGTAAAATACCTACTAGATCTAAAATACATAGAAACAATTTATATTGAATTAAATCTGCATTCTACACATTAAATATGTTGACTGAACTGAATAAGTGTAATTGAATGTGTAACATGAAACTATAATTTACAATATAATGATGCATTATAGGGGAAATATACAGGATAATTAAATCTCTGTACATATATAACAGGTCAGTAAAATTACTTTATTGATATTGATATTATTAAATAGTGCATATATTTTATGTATACAAAACAATGGTTACTTTTCTAGACATTTGTGTAGCCCTGAAAAGGGCTGTTTTGGTTATTTTATTATGCAGTTGATTTGCATAAAATTCTTCTGATCCTGTTGCCATACTTGATGATTCCTGTGTTTCTTCTATCTGATGTGGGTGTCTGTAAGTGGACCTGGTTTGGTAAAAAATCTTGTGGGTACTTGATGTCATCGAATGTGATGAAGTCAGTGCAAAATTTCTTCTTTAGGAGCTTGTTTACTTGTTTTCTTTGTCTGTCAAAGCTGTCTTTTGTTAACCCCGGAGATTTTGTGAAGTTCCCTCTTGTTAGTATTTCCCCAATAAAAACACGATGAACCCCTATGTTGTGGAAATGTGCAACTAGAGTGCACATTCTGTCAAAGATGTCCCTTGGTGTTGATGTAGTTGTTATGTCGTTCCCGCCTATCTGTATAAATACTGTGTTGGGTTTGTGTCTGGCAACTGTGTTGAGTAGTTCAGGATCCATTCTATCTTTACGAAGTCCCCCCTTCCCACAAAATACTGTGCATACTCCTGGAACGTGAAGATCTCCATCTGAAAACCTCCTTAGTCGTTCAATAAAACTGCTTCCAAACAAGACAAAAAATTTTCCCTTCATTTATATGATTTGATAATTATTGACCCATACTATGATTAGCTTGGGATAAGTGTTCACTTTCTTTTTTTAACTTTTATAAACCAATTATTAAAATGATACATTTAGGTGTCATCAAACATCATGTATTCAGCTTCAAATGTGTCATTATCATGAGTGATTGTTTATTAAGGGAAATCAATTCAGGAGTTTATTGATTACTAAATAATAACTGGTAAAGCCATGCATGCACTGTTGTTTGGACAGGTGAGACACTCCTCAGGTGAGCTGTCAGCCACTCTTGTTTATTCAAGTGATCACTAATAATTGCTAATAGGTGCGAATTTGTTGTCTGGCAGTACCTGTTGCTTTTATTTAGTGATTAAGTAATCAACACTGATTTTTTGAATACTTTTTAACATGAATGAAAACAATTCAGTAAAAGATTATATCATATAAATATGGGCATTTCACTCAGTACAAATCATACCCATTGCAGAACCCTAACAGGTAACATATTGTTCATTTCTTTATATATATATATATATATAGATATATATAGTGCTTTTTTCAACTGTGTACATAATTAAGGTAAAGTATTCATTGTGTTATTTTTGTTTATACTTTAGTGCTGTCAATTATGTCTGTCCTTGTAGCTGGTGATTCGCAGGCAAAATATTTTGATAGTTATCTTTCTGAAAATGATGGTGCTAAGGTTTTGTTTAGGAGTTATGGGCAAATAGGAAATATTTGGGGATTGATCAGGGATGTTGTGTGTCATCATGATGTGCTGGTTATTCATAGTGGTAAAGACAATCTGTCGGGTGGAGATAGTGTTTCGGATATTCTTAGGTCATTTCAAAGTCTTGTTGAGAAAATTTGGCATGTTCATCCTGATATGCACATAGTGATATCAGGAATTCTTCCAAGAGGGCAAAATTTACATGGGAATGTTTTGGTGAAGCATGTCCATGGACACTGAATGTATAAAATCTAAGAAAAAGTTACAATTTGATGAACAACCACAAATTAAAACAATAACTCCAAATTCTTCTAGAAAAGATCCATCTGAAATACAAACTATTATTGAAAACACAATATCACAAAAGATCATGACAATACACTATCTGACTCATTATAAATACAACTTTCTTCAATTTATGGACCTTGTAAAAATATAGCAGTGGTAGTACCTGATGTACAACAACAAGAAAATGGTTTTGATTGTGGTCTTTTTGCAATTGCACATTTAGTTGGATATTGTTTTTCAGATTTCACAGGTTCTAAAAAGGTAAACTTCTGCACACAGTATCTCATTTAATTACTTGTTTAGAAAATCAATCTTTCAAACCTTTCCCACAATTAAAAAAAAATCTAAAGCTGAACCAAAACATAAAACATAAAAAAAAATTGAATGTAATTGTAGTTGTGGTAAACCGGACTGTATAGAAGGCATGATTGGATGTGACTGGACAAAAGGTAAAAAACAGTGTGTAAATTGGAAACATCGGAGTTGTGTAGAAGATTTGACAGAGAAGGGAGACTGGTTTTGCGACTTTCATCGAAACACATAAAATCTGAATCTGTAGTGTATTATAATTTGATCTCTAGGTAATTTCAGTATTTGATAAAATCCAGTTGCAGATCGGCTCGTCACACCGTAATGTGGCCTATTTTTATAGGTAGAACTTTCTGTATCTTGGATTAAATAAAACTATTTTTGTTACATTCTATTAATTTGGTGGGGTTTTTTTTGGGGGGGGGGATTGTTGCATATTTTCAGGGTTTCAGGTACATAATTCTTCTTATGGTGTATTGTGTTTTTTAGGTGGAGTTTCAGGTATTACTATTTTTGCCATTTTTATATTATCAATAGATCTATAGTTTGTCTCAAAATTATTTGTCACAGTCATTTCGATAGTTTTGGACTAGAAAGGAATGTCGTAGAAAGCTGAAATTTGGACACATACTTTCCTATGTGGCAGCATTTTGTTTTCTTTTCAAATTCTGATGTTGTGATCAGTATTTCGACAGTTATGATAAAAAGTATGTTTTACTATAGGACGTCCCATTGACTTTCTGAAGAAATACGGTGTCCCAGAGGAGGCATAACAATATCATTGTCACATTATTTGGCATTAATTCTTAATCATATTGCATAAGCATCATTATTGCCAAATATCAATGTTCTAGGATATTTCTAAGTTGTCTTTTCAAAGACCACTGAAATTTCAGTGACAAAACATTTTGAGACAAACTATAGTGAATTTTTATCAGTAATCAAATTAGGTAATTTTATAAAGTATGAAGTTTTTGTTATTTCTATTAGAACACAGAATAAATTATTATTTATAAAAAAAAAACAATATGGACTCTTGGTAGAACTACGTCCCCGTCGTTGAGTCTGGTAACATTTGAAGAAAAAATTCAAATGGCTAAATGTTCTACACAGCAATAATCAAAATGTGCAGGTCATAAGTATGTAGACCTGTCCGAGTTATGTCCCTTCCTGCCACTAGCGTGAGATAAACAAAGTCAGATATTCGAAGCCTGGTTCGTAAAAATAACAATAATTTCAATTATTATATTTCACAAATTTGTGAACAAAACACTCACTTTTCACATATTTCTTACAAACAAACAGAATGCCTGAATAAAACAAACGACTTGTGATGTTTGAGGTTGCCCACTCGCGGTCGCAGGGCCCTATCATGGCCTATGCCGCGGTGTACATATGTGTTAGTAAACACGTTAAAAAATTTCTTTAAATGCTTAAAATACACCAAAAACAAAAATGTATTATTTGAAGTAATTTTATGGTTTGAATACGATACGAAATATTGTTAGCTTAAACACAGAGCAATGTAAGTTTCCTGCCATTTCCTGACTTTCCTGCCATTCATTGACAGGAATTTCTGACATTGGTAGGACCCCAAAGCTTGGCATGCTGCGAATCATGTGCCGTGTAACCATCTGTATGGGTGGCGTCTCAGGATGAAATGCCAAAAACTGAAGTACTTAGGTAAAATCACTTAGTTTAAGTTTTAGACATTTAAGTATCTATTTTACAGATAATTGTGATTTTTAGTACTTAAAGTAAGCTCTGGGTGACTTGTTATATTATGTTATAAACTACTCCGTGTTATACAATAAAAGATTAAGAAAGTGCGAACGTCGTAGTTAGTTCCGTCAACGAGAGATTCCGTCTCCGTGACTCTGCCCGCCCAATCGACGTCGATTATCTGGCGATCCTTTGATGCAGATGATGATGATGATGATGATGATGATGATGATGGAGGTTTTTCGTCTCCGCGACTCTGCCCGTCGCCAGGCGGAGTCCAATCGGCATACGCCGATTCTCTGGCGACGTGAGGGGGTGCTCCCCTCATGGGAAGGAGTCATCTGTTGAGTCTGTAGGATTTTGAGATGACTCCCTGGTCTAATTCATGGCGTCGTGTATCCGGGTTTTCGGTGCATGTTCGAGGGCCGGGTTCCGCTCATTCTGTCATGTACAACAGCTCCACAAGTAAACAACGTCTTTTTGTAAAATCGTTAAGACAATTTGAGGAAAAGGGAAATTTCGAAGTCCTTGTCTAATAGAATTTATGTAAAAGTTTAGAATTGTTTGCCAAAAAAGAAAAAATGGGGGGCTCCTGGGCGGCGTGGGGTGCCTACTCTTATTATCGAAAACCACAGGAGGATCTTTTATGTGCGAGATCGGACAGTTCTCACATAGACCACCGCTTTAAGTCCCGTCCGCCGGACTATAATTAGTTGTTAGTAAAGTGCTAGTGTTCACTATGAGTCCTTTCTGGTGCTCAGTTCTGAATCTTTTTACGTTGGCTGGACTGCTACTCAGAATGTATATTTCTTTCTGTACTACCTTTCTTAAACTTTCTCTATGCCGGCGATCCTTTATGACTCGTGTCTAATGTGCATAATGTGCTGGTTAGATTGCTTGGAGATGGGGAGGTTTTGTTTTTTTTTTTGTGGTTTTGGGTGGGGTGGTATTTGATGTAAGTCAGTGCATGACATTAGTTGGGGTAACAGGTTAATTGTTGTGTTGAGAATTTTTTTTATATAAAAAAGGTAGAAAAAAGAGTGGGAGAAGAAAAGTTGGGAAGGTATGGTAAGAGAAACCTTGTGGCATTTTTATTGAGGGGTACGGAGGGAGTTTTGATTATGTGGGTTGAAGTAGTATGTATTTGTCTTAAATGTGCTATAAGTGTGGTACAGGTATTGGTTATAGTGTAAGTTATATTGTATGTTGAGCGTTTGAGTTGGTGGTGTGATGTGGAGTTTACCTAAGTTTGGAGTAATGTTTTTGTGTTGGTTAGTGCTGGGGTGGAGTGATTATGGTTTGTGTCCAGTGTCGGATACACCTCCCTGTAAAGTCAATTACGGAGGGCTGTGTATCCCCAGTTTCCCTACCTAGCATAGGTTACCGAACACCCGGAGGGCCCAGGTAGATACAAATACGCATACTATTCGGTAATAGTCACCAGTATTTGTACGATCTACAAGTGATACCTACTTTGTGTGTTGTGATGAAAAAAAATCCCTTTCCCTCTTCCCCCGCGCATCCCTTCGGGTGAATCTATGAACCTTTCTATCGGTATAATATTTGTTGTATGTGTGTAAACCTTTGATGTGATTGTGTGTTTGTATTTTTGGTTGTCGATGTTTTGATGTGATTTAGCGGGGACTTTAGAATCGCTTTGTGGCCTTCATTTGTGTTGTTTGCAGTTTTGTGGGTTTTTTTGTGATAGTATGATGTCTCGTTTGATGTACCTGTTGTTTTTCTAGGAAGTTGTGATGGTATGTTTCCATACTGTAGTGAGGGTGTTTTGTTGGATGTCTGGCTGGCTTGTTGTTGTGATGTTCTATCATTATAGTAGTGAGGTGTGGTTTGAATTTGTGTCTGGGTTTGGGTATAAGTATGGGTGTCTATGATTATTTATTACTAATTGTTCAGTATGAAGACCGTCATGTTTGTTGGAAGTTCCTATGTGAAGAGGTTTGGGTTTTTGGCACAGAGACAAGGATTTGTTCCAGAGTGGAATGTACGCAACCGACTCTATATAGGTAGCCCACATCTGTGACGTCACAAGTTCAGGGCTGTCCAAACAGCCCTTTAGAAATATACCAGGAAGTTTCTATCGTGTGTTCGATATGCAACCTTTGACACTTACTTACGTATGTAAGATATATTTTAGGTGCTCCATAATGTAGAAATGACGTTTTTACAAGTTCAAATACGAGTGTTTTTTCCTATGAAGAAGACAAACGATGCACTGTATGCAGTTGTCTGAACACATTGAAGCACACAATTCTAGGTTATCTGAAAGATGTTGGTCTATATGATAGATTATGACTAACCATTTTAATCTTTTGTGCTAATATAGCCATTTCAGACTTTAAGCATTTGTCTTTTATCTTTCAGTTTGTTTGCTGTTTTTTCCTTTTAGATCGTTGTCTTTCACCGGTTGATGGCCCTAATGACCTTTTATTTGTTGCCGGGCCGTTAAGGTTATAATAATGATAATAATAATAACATATATGTATATATGACAATTTTGTTACATAGTGACAACTACCTTCATACTTCAGTGCAGAACTTACATGTAGATGAAAAGTCTCATAATGACAAAACGAAACGTCCTTGATACACGAGAATGTAAACCATTATGTGCTATATATATATATGTTATAAACACGAACAAGTAAACGCCGTTCTCTTATTTCGTCAAAATGGATTATCCCAGCATGCTCAGTCAGCCTTATGTGATGAAACTTGGAAAGAAAGTAATCATTGATTTCTAATTTAGTGTTTTAGCATACAATTTCCACTTAAGTAATACCATATCTACAAGTGTTTTTACAAATAATTTACAATTTTCACTTAAGCAGCATAATTTCTATTTAAGTGTTTTAACATACTAATTCCACTTAAACAAATGGTGATTTTTGGCGATCGGTGAATAGTTTCTGCTTGAAGGTATTCATTCACAAGTCTAGCTCTGTATGGTCGAGTCTTGTCGTCCATCAGTACAAACTCAGGACCAACCTTACAATTGTATAAAGGATTTAAACCCCGGTACAGTAAACCTGTGAGGTTACCACCTTGAATCACGGTCACGATCCGACCATCAATACCGTGATTCCTGCCCAAACCATGACCGAGCCCTTACCGAAACTATCATGATCAATGACGCGGCAGTCACCGTCCTCTCGTCCACCCCACGGCAAGCACACCCCCTGCCAGCATGAAAGTCCACACAAAATCTGGACTGACGCAGTTTTACTCTCCACGTTGTCAGCTGCCGAATGCTGCCGAGTTGGCGCACAGTGGGTCTGTGAGTGCTTAATTCAGAGCTATGTTTATTCCACACTGTTTGTACAGAAATTCTTCCAATTGCATGACATTAGCAAGTTCCACAAATTGAATTACGACTTCCGTCAAGCGATTTCGCCAACCGACCGAGGTCTCTCGGTAACGTGTTCGGTCATCTGGAACCGACCACATAATCGAGAAATAAGACTCGGTAGCACATTGTATGTAGTCACGATTCGTTGTGATCATCCTGCTTGCACATCCCGACTGCTCGGCCAGCCATTGCAGCAGTCATGTGACTAACAATTGTTCCAAATGCCTTCCCTTTAGACCTAGGTGTCGTCTTGTCTTGTTAATATGTATTTTGTCAAACTTTATATGAAAGGGCTGAATATAAGTTAGAAAACCTGTGCCCAATCCTACATGTATATTTGATACCAATTATATATTCTTTAAATCAAATCTGCGCGATTTGTTAGCGTTTGCACTATGTTTTCTTCAATTTTCTAGCACCGCGTTTTTCGTATGCGTATTTATCCGTAATTAAGTCATAATGATATGATCTGTAGCTTTATACATCGTTTCTTGCAGCGTATCAAAAGCACATTTTAATTTCGTTTTATTGTCATTCCATAAAATATATGATGTATATATGCTTGGTCAGTAAGGGTATTGTACACGTATACGGAACGACGTTAGTACAAATGCATTGGATTGGAGTTTTCATGTTTTGTTTGGATGAATAAACAATAAAAGGAGAAATTAGAAATAAAGTAATTTGTTTATTCAATGCTACACTACGCTATTAGCTGCTATCGTAGCCTTACTTCATTCAACTGTTATCAACGTCAGGAAACTGATATCGTCAAGCTTATTTATACACTTCGTTTTAGTCGAACTTCGGATAAGTCGAAATATTTTCCACGGTCCCTTGAATTTCAAGATAACGAGTTTCGACTGCAGTTTGATACTAAAATAGGTCAGGCATGCATCATTTGACTGTGACCTACTTTACGAGTACTTGACTGTTTTTCAACTTAATTTCTAAAGCTTAAAGCAGGAAACTTTGACAGAACGTAGCTGTTTCGTACTCGTGAAAACGAGACCCACCGTTAATACAAAATTGACTCCCCTTCAGTTGAGGCGGACGGACGATAGACACCCGCTTATGTGCCCTCATACTAGGTGAGCTAAATATAAATATTTTGTCATACTTTTGAAATATATACGACATTAAATTGGAAACCATTAAATATCGTTTATGTTTTCAGTTGAGGAATCGAGTAAAACATATCTCAGCGGTGTCTCAATGCATGTCGTTTGAGGCGAATAATTATAGGGTATCAGCTGCATAATTGGGGTGAATTCTCCAATATCTTCTGTTAATGAAGAAATCGCAGGGCACAAATATATGTTCTGTTTTAAAACTATAACTTGGTCCCCAGCAAAACCAAAGGATTTCTTCAGTGTCGTCTACCTATGAGACATTTGAACGGTCCAAAATCGATCTGTCAACATTGCAATACTCGGGGTCTGGCTATTTTCATTTTTTTCCAGTGTGCTCTTTTTATGCAAATGAGTTTTCCTATTTCGGTATCGCTTTTGACATCCTACTTACCGGACCGTGGCTGTTGCAGGGACGTGAAACCCGCAGAAACAACAAAACTCAATTATACTTTAAAATAATGCTGATGATATATTTGATTATGTCGCAAAAGTGTGTACATATCCTTGACAGCACGTGATTTACTTCACAGGATCAGTGGAAAAACAACACGTGAACTTATGCTTGTATTTCACGTGCACATTGTCCACTGGCTACTAATGATTTTATCACACTAACTGACGGTGAACAAAGAAAATCTAAATCACACACTCTATGTTCTGATTTACAGGATATATTTGTACATGAAGTTAAAGAAAATAAAAATGTAAACTGTATACATTTATATACAAGAGGCCAAATAGGCCTAAATTGCTCAACTACTCTCCAGCTTACAATGACATTGTCAGTTCCTAAAAAACATCTTCTGTAAACTTAAAATCCTATTCCATACATGCTACTACACAAATACCATGATTTTGGGCCTATTGCTTGTCGAAAACGAAATTTCCTTCACATATTTATTTTATATTTGACGGTGGATCGGGGATGGGGTACAAAAATGTATTGTAAACTAGGTATTCCTGACCCTTCGGATGCCGTTTAACAATTTCCTTATACAATCTGAATCAAAGAACGTTCGTTTCTATTGATTAACGATAAAAAGTTGGACATATTTGATGCTCGTTGTATACATTGCTTTCATTTGAGAGTGTGACGTTATTTACATAGATTGACAAAGGTAAACATGGTAGGTGTCGTCGAGAAGAAGACGCGGACTCTTCTGGAACACCTGGTCGTATTCTTCTTAATCTTTTTTTATGAGTCTCCGTGTACAACTTTTGTTATGTTTATATTTTGCCCTGGTTTTATTAAATCTGAGTTTGGATTATGAATAGGATGATATGTTGGGATGATCTTGTTTTTGTAGTTTAAAACCATTATTTATGCAGTATTCACTGTACAAATGACACGAAAGTGAACAGTACCATTCAGGACAAATGTTAGATACAGTACAACCTAACAATAGATGGCAAGGATAAGTAGAAAACTGTGGTGATGACAATTTCCTATTTTTTCCATATCGATCACATGCTTCCCCTTTCAGCTCCTACAACTCTATATTGACAATGTGCAATACTTTATTACTTCATTATGAAAGGGCAATAACAAAAATAATGAAAATGGCATGTTTAACATGATTGGGATTAATTCCCATTGCAAGCTTTGGGACGAAACCGATGAGTTAAAAAAGTGCTATATACATTGTATGACAGGTTGCTTGGTGTCTTTAATCTGTTGCTATATACATCAAAATTTGAGAACAAAACAAGAGTTCAACGAGGAATCTTGGCGCACACTATTCTTTGATCTTTAGTTGGTCTTTACAAGTTGGATATTTTCCTTTCTTTACTCTTCATTTCTTTGTTTAGCACTAATATTTGGAATGTGTTGATAGTCATTAATTTCCAAATACAATATAGTTCCATTTTGGCCTTTTCCAATTTTTTTTGTTCGGTCCAAAAATCAAGAAGGTACAACTAATGATCAAGTGGACAATGGAGATGAAATCTTAAAATGACCCATTCAATATTTAATAAGAAATAGCGATTAAGAATGTCTCCTACTCAAAATCCAAGATGGTCACCTTCCAGCCATCTTGTTTTTCAAAAGTCAAAATTGCACAACAAGGGAAAGTCCCATCCATTGTTTCTCCATGATAACAAATTGTGGACATCAAAACACAACATTAGGTTGCCTGTATATTGTCTCGTTTTTTCTCATTTGTCTGAAACAATTTTGATGAATGCATAATGTAGTTCTTTTCTTATTGTTGTGTAGTGTTGGGAGGACTGTTATAAAGCAGAGATATCCACGCAGCATCTGCAACTTTTTCAAGAGATTTAGGTTTCCTCTCAATGGAAGACCCTGTCACAACAATATGCAATTTTTCCAGAAGTTCCTTGGCTTCCGGACATTTCAAAACATCATCACTAATGACAATTTTTCTGTCATTGGTCTGGAGAAGGATGGTTTTCAGCTGAAAGAAAAAACAACAGTGTTTGAAACTAAATATACTGATAAACAATGTAATAAGGTACTACAAGATGGACAAGGTTTCAGAAAATATCAATAAAGGTCACCAAATGTCACAAGTCAAATAATTCATCAAATCAACCAATATAGCATATTTTCATTTTCGAGCTTTTGCGGATCATGTTGAATTTGTCTAAAGAGCAACTCAATTCATCATCCTATAAAATTGACAATAGCCAGGATTAATGCTTATAAATAAATGAAAACATTGTAAGGTTACAAACATTTGCAGTAGACAAAAACATTTGCACAGTTTCAACCAGATATCAAACCATGGAAAACAAATCTCTCCTAAAAATCACCATAATGTTATATTTTGATTCATTTAATAATTATTATATATATTATTTATCTTTATCAATTTATATTCTGAAAATCTGTAGTAAATTTGAATACTTTAATTCAAAGTTTAGCATCAAACATTTGTTAAGGTTCTATCCCTTACAGAATCTGTAAAGGTTGTATTCACATGTCAAAATCAATGTCAATCTGGTCAAATTCATGGACACAAGCTAAATTTCGTAGTTTCATTGAGTAAAACATAAGTAGAAGTTGAAATATCTGATTGTCTATCCTTCATTAGAATCATAAAAAGATGCCATACTTCGTGATTAATTAGTTCATCATGTCAGTATCTTCTTATTACTTGTACATTTTGTGATCCAATGTCACATCTACTTAACTACTTAACAACCAAAAATCACATCTACTTAACTACCACCAATCACATCTACTTAACTACCAGCCGTCACATCTACTTAACTACTTAACAACCAAAAATCACATCTACTTAACTACCAGCTGTCACATCTACTTAACTACCACCAATCACATCTACTTAACTACCACCAATCACATCTACTATCCTACCAGCCATCACATTTACTATCCTACCAGCCATCACATCTACTATCCTACCTGCCATCACATCTACTTAACTACCACTAATCACATCTACTTAACTACTTAACAACCAAAAATCACATCTACTTAACTACCAGCTGTCACATCTACTTAACTACCACCAATCACATTTACCACCAATCACATCTACTTAACTACCTACCAGCCATCACATCTACTTATCTACCACTAATCACATCTACTTAACTACCTGCCATCACATCTACTTAACTACCACTAATCACATCTACTTAACTACCTGCCATCACATCTACTTAACTACCACTAATCACATCTACTTAACTACCAGCCATCACATCTACTTAACTACCAGCCATCACATCTACTATCCTACCAGCCATCACATCTTATTTTTTGTTTACATTATTAAGTTGACATTGTATCATATTAATTCTTCTCTTTCAGTTTTGTTAACCCAAACTATATCATGTTTACACTTGTCTTAGTTAATTCATCCTAACTGTATCATGTTTACACTTGTCTCAGCTAACTGACCCTAACTATATCATGTTTACACTTGTCTCAGCTAACTGACCCTAACTATATCATGTTTACACTTGTCTCAGCTAACTGACCCCGACTGTACCATGTTTTACACTTGTCTCAGCTGACTGACCCTAACTATATCATGTTTACACTTGCCTCAGCTAACTGACCCCGACTGTATCATGTTTACACTTGTCTCAGCTAATTGACCCTAACTATATCATGTTTACACTTGTCTCAGCTAACTGACCCTAACTATATCATGTTTACACTTGCCTCAGCTAACTGACCCTAACTATATCATGTTTAAAATTGTCTCAACTAACTGACCCTGACTGTACCATGTTTTACACTTGTCTCAGCTAACTGACCCTAACTATATCATGTTTACACTTGTCTCAGCTAATTGACCCTAACTATATCATGTTTACACTTGTCTCAGCTTTTTGGTCCTAAATCTTACTGATTCTCTTGCTTAGTCAAGTTTATAATTGGCACTGTATCATATCAACTCTTCTCTTTTAGTCAAAGTTATGTCCCTTTGGCACTTCTGTTTCAGTTAATTGATCCTGTGTCAAATCAAAGCCCCAATATATGCAATTTTGACGAAAAAAGTGAGGAGAAAATAGAATATACAATGTTTTCATATCAGTATCATGAAAATTAACTTATCAGAAAAATATAAAGACAATATCTTGTTTTGGTATTCACATAATGATACACCTGCATTCTACATATATGACGTCACCAAAAGCACCAGGCACCTGTCACATTGCTCTTAATCTGTAAACGCACCAACGTACACACCTGTACATTTGAGTATGCAGATAAGTCTTATGTTTTTTTTTTTTGTGATGGTGTTCTGAAATTTGTATAACATCACTTTGTACTTCAAATGGGACCCACTTTTATTAATCTTTTTTTTTTTCAATATCCTGACAAAGTGTTTCTTAAACCTACTCTGCTAAAGTATGTTTCAATCTTTACTATGCATAACTACCATGTCAAAGTTTTCTCAGAAATTTTCTCAATCTCGTAAATTTGCCAAATGATGTATAAATTTGGGATTTCATTTATTCCTTTCTTGGTTTAATTTGCCAGCATTTTTTGTGATACCACATGTTTATTACCAGACTGTAAAGGCTGACAGTGGACCGTTCGATGAGGCTTCGGATGGTCGGTGGGATCTCGGCCAGCAGAACAGTTAAATAGTAACAACTGTTAAAGGAAGGATCCGATTTGAACTTTTTCTTCAGCTTAAGTCTGCCTGATTCCTGTTGTAAAATAAAACATGTACTGAAAAAAATGTAAATTATCAGCATCTAAGAAAAACAATATATAAAAAAACTGTCCGAACAAAATTACACTGTTTGAACTAAAGAAGAATTTTAGTTAAAAAAGATGTAAAAAAAATGTAGTTGAAGAATGCAATGACTGTGCATTCAATATTGTCACTATATGGCCCATATGACTGTCATGTCCAAGTTTTTATAAGGCCTCAACATCTCCGTTCGTTTTCAGCTCATTGGTACTAGAGGAACTTGAGAAGTTTAAAATCTGTTTCCAAGATGAAACCCATATCAGATTTCAAACGGAACACCGTCGCTAAAATGTATTTTTCAAAATAACTGCCATATTGGATTTGTGACAAAATTGAAAAATAACAACACTTGGTTAGGACTATCTCAATATCATTTTCCAAGATAACAACCATGGATTTCAGACAGAACCCGTTGTTTCTTGGTCAATACAATCCTCTAATCATTTAAGGCAGGTTTGAGCTAAATTCCACCTTTTAGAGGTCTGCACTGCATTCAAATCAAATTCATAAACAAACCTTGATTTCCTTTTACCTGGAAGTTGGAATAGAGGTCTGTGTTTTACATTCTATCAACTTTGTGATCATTTAAGGGTGAGATTTGAATATAGGATTAACCTTAATGAAGTAACATACAGAGTATGTACCTGCTGAAAGTTTGCAAACTGCAATATATCTTGAGTGTTCTGGGACATAGTGTCGGGCAAATCCACATCTTCTGTGCTGTCTTCTATCTGTTCAAACTGATTGTAATTTGATACTATGATTTAAATATTTCAATGTTTTTTAAACCTCAATATACAGATACTCATACATTTCATCAAGTTCTATGAACAGATTAATCCATTCATGTAATAAAACATCTTGTACATGACAGAGGTGATCAAAAAAATATTAAGACACCAAAGTGAAGCACCATCAACTGCATAAAATTCCAGAATACATATACATAATTGAACTTGTGAGAGATTTAATGAACCTGGTACACAATATCAACAAAATCAGATTTAAATTCTGTAATTCCGAACTTTACAACTTCAATCAGATAATATCAATGTTGATTAGAATGCCATTGAAATTATTTCTTATTAGTATGTTTGTTATTCGTGACTCAAAAAAATTGATTTACCCAGATTAAGTAACCATTTCATTATGTCAAGCTTTGAAAGCTGATCACGAAAGGGAAAATCAATCAAGTAGATAGGGATCTAGATCAGTATGTACCAAGTATTTCCCTGAATATTGCTATAATTCTGTTTCATTAATTAAATATCAATTGAACTGATCAACTTTCTTTTTCTTTTGGTGTTTAAATCTTTAAGTATATTTGTAAAACCTTTTGATGGAGGAGTAAAGATATGTCATATAGCATAATCTGATCTCTATTTCCACTTCAGGATATAATGGTGACATTTTTTTACCTTAAAACATCCAATATTCGTGTGTAGATTGATCATTTTGGAGAACAGTATAATGTTGAAATTGTTTGAGAAAATTTCATCTAATCCTAATATAAATGGACATTCGTGGCTCATATACTCACGTTTACACACAATGTGTTGGTCATTAATCTACAACCGGATTGCATATTCATCCCATTATCTTTATACAGTTCAAAACACAAATCAGAATGTCTACCTTGATTAACATGCCGGCAACCCTTTAATTCAAGACATTTTGACCGACCATGATTTACTTGGCAGGTTTTAAATGATTTGTTAGCTGGGTTTATCACACCAGAGCCAGGGTCTTCGTAAGGCGAGGTTTCTTTGTAATAGCTATGGTGGCTACCTCACTTAACAACATATGGGAAACCTGTCTCATGCCATCAAGAGTAATTAGAATACAGTTTCACCTTCAGGAATACAACAACAACAACACAACTCTTATCTTCTAAAAAAACATAAACTACCATGGGTAGGATAAACTTTACCTCTGAAGATACAGATAAACTTTTTAATTACCAGGTGACATAACTGTGAGATATCGTCATCAGTGATGGCTTTAAATGCTGCAGCTACAGCTTTGTTGTCAATTAAAGGTCGCAGGAATTCTTCTATTTCCCTGATGTTAGATTGAAGAGATAGTTCCTTTTCTGAAAATATAATTTCCCATCGATGAAATGATGTATCATCATGTAAATGAATACAACAAATGAAACAAAATCTTACGCAAAATTTTGAACAAAACATATTCTTTAATGACCTCTAGGGATGAAAATACAAATACTGTGATCTGATTGGTCAAAAAATGATTAGAAACACCACAGCACTCAATGAAAATATCTCTTATATCGTCATTGTATAATTCTATATTTCACTGTAATGTAATAAATATTACAAACCACCAAAAAAGTCCAAACTGTAATGCAGTACAACCTCTATAAATCCCCTTGATTCCTCCTTTGCCATTATATTGCCAAACTGGGTTACCTCAAGTGGTAACACCTTGTAAAGTATGGGTCCAACAATACAGGACTTTGATTCTTTTTTTGTCTCATTGAGAACCTTGCCTTCTGGTTTCACTGGTAAAGAACCCTTTCAGAACAATCAAGTACCATCAAAGATTAACATTTTAATGCGATATATCAATCCCAAGGCCACATGAGAGAAAATGAAAATGTTTACCAAAATCAATGGTGTCTGTATGTCAATGAAAAGTATGTGTAATTTCTTGTCTCCATCTTGTTTTGTCATGTATATGACCCAAGTTCTCAACAACATTAGAAAATATAAAAAACAAATGAAATATCACATCGTAGTATACATAACATGGATACAAACTTACTAACATAACATTTCAATTTAATGAATGATGACAAACAAACCAGCCTTGCCCCATTCAAATAAATAAGATGTATGGTATTACTTAAATCGTACAAATGCATCTGTTCCTGGTCCTATTAAACTGTCACTCTTGATGTTGCCTTCAAGCCTTCGTTTTTTCACCGTGGAACAGCTTCCGTCAGTATGATCATTGGGCATATCTGCTTCAACAATTTTATTGATGATGCAAGGAATAGCGCGTTGTGATTTCTTTTCCTTTATGTAACCCGATTCCATGTTGAGGTTCCTGGCAATAGAGATATAATCATTGGTTTACAGGATTATCTCAATATTCAATTATGCATATAATTATATGCTTTTTTCACAACGATGGAAAAACAGACAAATTGTCTGTAATATTCATTAATTCTTTGCTGAGGCATTGCCAAGAAGCAATCATAATGAAATCAATTTCCTATTTGTTAACTGTTTTAATTCTGCTCCATCACATTAACATTGAAGTGAAACACGCTAGAAAACTTAAGCAAACAAGTGTATCAGATAGTGCTAGGTAGCATTGAAATACATGGGTAACAAGTGTATCAGATAGTGCAGGGTAGCATTGAAGTTCATGAGTAACAAGTGTAGCAGATAGTGCTGGGTAGCATTGAAGTTCATGGGTAACAAGTGTAGCAGATAGTGCTGGGTTGCACTGGAGTTCATGAGTAACAAGTGTAGCAGATAGTGCAGGGTAACACTGAAATACATGGGTAACAAGTGTATCAGATAGTGCAGGGTAACACTGAAATACATGAGTAACAAGTGTATTAGATAGTGCAGGGTTGCACTGGAGTTCATGAGTAACAAGTGTAGCAAATAGTGCAGGGTTGCACTGAAGTTCATGAGAACAAGTGTAGCAGATAGTGCTGGGTAGCATTGAAATACATGGGTAACAAGTGTATCAGATAGTGCAGGGTAACACTGAAATACATGAGTAACAAATGTATTAGATAGTGCAGGTAGCACTGAAATACATGGGTAACAAGTGTATTATATAGTGCTGGGTAGCACTGAAATACATGGGTAACAAGTGTATTAGATAGTGCAGGTAGCACTGAAATACATGGGTAACAAGTGTATTATATAGTGCTGGGTAGCACTGAAATACGTGAGTAACAAGTGTAGCAGATAGTGCAGGGTAGCATTGAAATACATGGGTAACAAGTGTAGCAGATAGTGCAGGGTAACACTGAAGTTCATGAGTAACAAGTGTAGCAGATAGTGCTGGGTAGCATTGAAGTTCATGGGTAACAAGTGTAGCAGATAGTGCAGGGTAACACTGAAGTTCATGGTTAACATGTGTAGCAGATAGTGCTGGGTAGCAGATAGTGCAAGTGGGTGCAGGGTTGCACTGGAGTTCATGAGTAACAAGTGTAGCAAATAGTGCAGGGTTGCACTGAAGTTCATGAGTAACAAGTGTAGCAGATAGTGCTGGGTAGCATTGAAGTTCATGGGTAACAAGTGTAGCAGATAGTGCTGGGTTGCACTGAAGTTCATGGGTAGCAAGTGTAGCAGATAGTGCAGGGTAGCATTGAAATACATGGGTAACAAGTGTAGCAGATAGTGCTGGGTAGCACTGAAAAATAAGGGTAACAAGTGAAACAGAGAATGCATGTTAGCTGAATGGGTTGTAAAATATGTGAAAATGGCAGAAAATATTGACAGAAAATTTGAGAAATGCTAATTTACATGTCAACTGGTGATGATACAGAACATGCTTCAAAACAACAAAGAAAATATCAGCATGTCAGAAATCAAAATCATATTTAAAGAAACTAATGGCAAAATATGAACAAAAGGAAGATTTACATAGCAACTCCTTAACAACATCAGGTATTCCTTCAGACCAGTGAGCATATTCTACTTCATTGACAACTCCTGCCCTGTAAATCTTGGTCTATCCAGAAAAACAGTGTCACGTTCCCAAATGAAAGCAAAGTAAGAACCTGCTAATGCTAATGAGGTCTTTTAGTCGAGGTGGGTCACATGTTTCAACAATGAAGATCCATTGCATCACTGACAAGTCCTAGAAGGGTGGCAATCCTGTAGGAATGTACTTTAATTAATTATTTGGCCCTAGTGTACCTATAAATCTAAATACGTATTAAATGGTGTTGTTCATTGCTGTGTTTTTAGTAAAGTCTTAGCAACAGATGGAACACCAATTACAGATAAAGGATGCTTTAAAGTACTGGACCATGGCATGGCAACTGATATGCATTTACCACTCTCTGAATTCCTCTTCCAGGCTACTTCTTTTGATCCATGTGATGGTTAAATCTCTAGCAGGAGCGTTCATCATTGTCTCTTCAGTGGCGCCCACGCCAACAACTCCATCACTTCCAGCGTTGAAGCTCCTTTTTTCATCCGAGACTGATGAAGACACTGTTTTTCTCTCCTTTTCCGTTTCAAAAGAGAAAGTATGATTTTCGCGTTTTTGTAGAAAATCTTTCACCTGAAAAGATAAAAGCTTATCTCATGCTTTGTAAAAATAATCAGACAAGCAAGTTACAGCCCAAATACCAGTACCATGGGCCTCTTGAATAACTGCATGATCACAAGTTGTCAAATGTTTTCATCACACTGGAGCTCTGTGACCTTGAAAGTACATAGGCAATTATTTAATTTTTCTGCATAATCGAAGTAACAAAAAGAACTCAAACAGACTGTGTAATATGGACTAAAACTAAGGAAGAAATGAATCTGTATAGAATAACTAAGGAATATTTACAATGTTAAAAATAAATTACTACCTTGTACAAAGATAGGGGGAGAGGAAGTGAAAAAGTATAAATCAACATATTACATAGTGAGGTATTTGTCAAAATCAAATTGTTTTTCAATGCTTAATGAAGTAAAATAAAACAAGTACATGCTTTATGTCAATCAAGTTCTCATACTTCTCATATGAAAATAAAACTAAACTATGGATCAATATATTGGTGTCATTATAACATAATGCAAATTTCAAATTGTCATTTAGTAATTGGTGATGATTTCGATTGACAGCACTCGCCCTTTGTGATACTACACACTTAATGAAAAAGGTTGTTAAGATTTTGACATCCCCCTTTGACCATTATTGTAGGTTCAAGAAGTGTAGTAATATGAGCTAAAATAGTCCCAAATGCTTGTTGACAAAACACATCAATGTGTAAGATAATTTTCAATATTTCTTTTGATTGCGTGTTATCTCATATAGATGTTGTTAAACATATGACAGCATCACACATATGAAATGATTCGTAAATGTCATTTAACTCCTTTTCACGAAGGACAAGTGCGTTGTTAGTTTTTTTTATAAATGAATAATGAGGCTCTTGTGCTTATGACAACTTAAGGACGCTGTATTGTACACACCTCACATCGCCTTACCAGTATGAACCGGGGCATTCCCAGAGTGTGAAGCTGAGCCCGTATAAGTTTTATAATGATGTAAATCAAATGCCAAAATGTTAAAGTGACCTAAATTTCAATATAAGAAGTTCAGGTGACAAGTAAGAGTAGGAATAGAGCCTAGATGAAGGTCAAAGGTCAAATGCAGGTCAGAGTGACCCAAGTATAAGTTCCAGTGACAAGAAGTATAGGAGATAGAGCCCAGACAAGGAAGGAAGACTGAAAGAAGGAACACAAAAATATAAAACCCACCCCATCCCCTTTTGGTTCTCTAATAGGAGACGAGAAATAAGCAAGAACACTACTTCTCAAGACAAGGTAATAAAGAACTAAAATGTTGTAATGTGTCCTAGACTGTATTAAATGTGTAACATAAAAGACCACCCATCATTGCCAATTAAAGGTAAGACTATATATGTTAAACAAAGCCTTTGACACAGTTACAGCACAAAGTATAAAACTACTCACACTCTCATCTGTTGTAACATACTTAAATTTCCCCCAGAAAAGCTTTCTGAAAAAATTTCGAGGTTGTTTCCAAACAAAGTTTCCCAGCTTGATACCAGTCTCCAACGTTTCAACTGTTTTCCATTCATCCTTGTTATTTTTTTCCTCTTGAAGAATCAGTTTTCCAAATTCTACTCGGCTGGACATCTACAAAACAAATACAATGTGACATATCTGGTAACAGTTAAAATTGAAATATAGTTGTAAATTTTCATCACGTATCAGATGAAATTTGTTTCATTACAATAATGTAAGCTTTAACTTTTCTCAGAAAACTATACAAGACGTCTGACTGGGGTAAAGCACACAATAAAGCTGATAGGAGTGAGGCTAACACCGGAGTTTCTTTTTATCCAAATTTAATAATAGTGTTGTTTATAGGTTTCAACTTAAGGGTGAACCGTCATCAGAACACCAAATAGTTATGTCACTGACTTCTGTGTAAACATCAAAAAATGATGATGTCATAATTAAGTGCACAGTATCTAGAAAATAACTACAGCATAGTTTGCAGGAAAAACAAACTATCTGTTAGCAGTAAAGTATGCATTGTACATTAGAACTTTAATATCGGGCTATAAATGACGATTACAACAAAAAGACAGATGTAGCCAGGGGATTGTGCTTCTAGTTGGTGATAAAAGGAAGATTTCATTGAAACATATAACCAGGGTTTCCCATAATTTTGTCAGTAGTAGGCTGTGTAGTGAAAGTAGGAGGCTGGCGAAGCAAGCCGACCCGAGCCGCAACGCGGCTAGGTGGGGGTGGCCTACCGTGTATGTGTAGTCGTGTATGGAACATTATTACGGAACTGGATTGGTGTAGGCAGCCAAATTATCAAAGATGCCGGTCAAATTGGCCGGCGACCGGCTCTTATGGAAAACCCTGTAGAACAAATTATTTGTAGTCATTTAACACAAAATAGGGCATAAATGGGAAATATATTTAAAGACTGTTTTTTTTTTTTTTTTATGAGACAGAAGAACTGTTACAATTTGTTTTGTCGGCAGAATCATTTTATAACATTTCATCTGAGAAGATGTGACAGTTCTTCGGTCTTTTCAAATGAAAGAATTACAAACAATTACAATTTGTCATAAAATTCAGATGAAAAGAATATTCTGTGTGGGGCTCCCTCCTATGCGCATTATTGTACAACTGAGGTTAGATAACTAATGGTAAAAAATAAAAGATTGTTAAGATTCTTCTCATATTATTGTGTTTTTCTATTTGTGAACCCATGACATCTTGTAATGCAATATTCTTCTGTGTTAATTATTTATACTAGGGCAAGATATCTACTAATCAAAATCCCCCCCCCCCCCCCACCACTCCAATCCCTCTCTCTCTCTCTTTTACATGTCTGCATGCGCCTATTTTTTTCAGTCTTCATGATATAAAGAGGTATCTTAGATGCTTGTAGATAGAGTTTATAGATTTTAAATGTATTACATAGCAACCGAGAAAATTAATTAGTTTAATCATCAGGGACCAGATAATGTATATATCTTACATAGATGTAATATATATGTACATAAAATTCCTTTCCCAAACACCTGTAAGGATGTTTGAAAACGAATTGTTTTGTAATGGTGTTATATGTATACATAATGTATGCATGTCCTGTGCTTGCCTTGATACTGCTACTGCTGCTGCTGATGATGATGATAATGGTGGTGATGATGATAATAATGGTGGTGATGATGATGATGACGATGGTTATGATGATGATAAATGTTCATAAGAGTTAAACATTACAAAATATTTTTTGTCATATACAATCTAGGCGTAAAAGGCGCCACACGTCTGCAGACACAGCAACCGGAAGTCACCTAATTAAATGTTACACGTGTCACATACCATTGATATAAATCAGTCTTACATCTATACAAACTGGAGTAGCTTACAATGATGTTGTATTCAGTGAATAACTTACACTAGCGCCCCTTCTTCAAATTTCTGCATGGATAATTCTTCTTTCTTTTTTTGGCGATTTAGCATTAACGGGAGACAACCCTTATATAATGTTGCACAATGGCCCATCTAAAGTATGTGTATTTTAAGTGCGAGTTTGATAACTTTCAAGTGGCGAAGGACGCGCGGGGTGCACGGAAGGGGGATTTTTGTTTTTTCGTGGTCACGTTAGAAAATGTTTGTCTTTTTGCTCCCCCCTAACCCCACCTTTTTTCATTTTAACTTTTTAAAAAGGGATAACTTTCTTCCTTTTGCTAAATATGAAATACTCACAAATTTTGGAAAAGTCTGGATTATGTAAGGGGCACGTTATTCTGTTTTTTTGTTTGTTTTTTTTTAACATTTCTTTCGTTCTTTTTTATTTTAAATATGACACTTCGGGATGTTTCCAATATGTGCTATGTCAATCGACAACCGAAGCATGTACTGGTATTGGCAAAATATTAGCACCCTGGATCTTAAGTTAAGAAATCTTTCCGTAGCATTGTAAGCCATGTGTGCTTAGCACGCTAATTGATTACGTTTAATTAATTAGCTGTAAACTAGAAGTCAGGTAAAAAAAATCCTTATCTGCTCTAAGTCAGAATACAGAACACTCCTCCATGACAACACCATAATATTCTTCCAAAAGCAGATTAAATAAGCATTGAGGAGACCAAGACCTTTTATATAATTTGATGTCAGAAAAAAATATTAAACGGCCGTATCCGACATCATGTGTGTGTGTCGTCACACAAAGCAAGGAATCTCTGTCCAAGTGTCTTATCAAACATGCATTACAGATCGCTCTGATTATTTTCGGCTTTAGAATTTACAATGGGAACTGTTGAAAAATTATGCAATATTATATTTTAATTCCTGCCTCCAGAAATGAATCACGTAAAAAGTTAAAGCTACCGTATAAAAGAAATGACGGCGACTATAATTTGCCTTGTGTTAGAAGGGAGGTAACTCCTATATTTCTGTAAAAGATGAAAAAAGGAAAGAAAAATAATTTTCGTCCCAGTTTACCGTTGAAACATTATTATATTGCACACGACGTGATATATATATATATATATTTAAATATATTTTTCCTTCTCCTCAATAAGCAAGAAAATAAATTGTGTTTGTTGTAGGTCGAGCTTTCGGTAATATTTCATGAAAAAAGTCGTCACTCTTGCCATGGTTCATCCTCCTTGTGGTGTAGAACTGACGCATTGCGAGTTCGTCGTATAATTTTTCTTTTCCGTTAATCAAAATGTGCTGTGTTCCTATACGTTGGGTGAATTCGTGCGGCCATGTTTTGCAAATGAGACTTATTGCCACCCTCTCGCTAAGAACATCGTTTGTAGACGTTTTCACTAAGAAATTTAAAATAACTAAAGACTATTGATCTTGAAAAAGTATTTCATTCAATCGACATATCTTTCATCGATACATAAATTCTGAAAATGCAGCTTTATTGATAAGAAAGTCTATAAGTCTGTGATAATGTAAATATGTGAATGAAATATGTCACAATCTGACATCGATGTAACAATGAACAGAGCTATTTAAGCCTATGGACCCGTCAGTAGTTTTTATAGTAAGATAAATCCTATCGGCTGGTCAGTCGGTAATAGTGTTACCTGCTCAAACATAGGATTGCTATAACCCACTTATGTATAAGAAGGGTTATGTTCTCGGCTTAGTAATACGACCGATCAGAATTGATACGACTATATATTCTTAAAGTATTACTAAATTAAATCAAAAGTTGTATGTTCAAAGAAATACAATATGATGTCGCAATCTTATATAACAAGGACGTGTGCAGATCTATTGCCAATCTCTCCCAGAATGCATTGCGTCTCCCCAATAACCCGTAAATCAATAATTGATTAATTATTACATTTCGTATTGCGACTGCTAAGGAACGACAACTCTGGTAGCTTGGCCTTGTACATAAACCAGAGTCTTCCATATGATGATATCTGTAAGCATGTTCAAAACTTTATTGTTAACCGTAAACAATTTGTGTCAGTATATGTAAGTATATAGAGACATCTACCTGGCAATGGTAATGCCTATCTTTTGAATATGTTTACTTGTTCTTTAGAGAACACATTGATCATGTGATCATTTTCGTCAGATCATTTTTATAATATTTATGCAATGATAATGGTTTATGTTCAAATTTTTAAAAAATACTAGATAAAACTTCATGTATTTCAAATTTACTAAAAATACAACGTTTGCAATAATAATGTTTTTGTAGCCTATGGTTACGTGATAAATAAATTTCTTTGAAACGGTAAGTATCGTTCAGTTCCAATGATCTCTATAACATTGAAAAAAATTGCATAAAGATTAGGAAAAGTTTAAGAATTTTCTATTTAGATTGTCCCCTCCGAGACACCTAGAAAGTTTAATTAATGAGATTTCACATCGAAAGTCATTGCCAGGTATCCACCAAAAAATTGAAATCATGTATCTATCACTATGACACATTGAAACGCGTTAGAATGAGGGACGAAAAGAGCAACATGGTCCACCGAGAAACATTTCCACATGTAGTCTGTATTTAGTACAGTGTATAGTGCAGTACTGGAAAACATTCAAAACAAGGACACATCTCAATTTTGGATTCTTAAACTTCCGTATTTTTCAAAACTTCTTCATGGCAAAGATTACATAATATAAGAAACCAAATATCCGGAAAAAGTAAATTATAATTAAATGAAAAAGGATACGGAGTTAAATATCCGGAATTAACATGGTAAGGGAAATAACACTTATGACACAATTAAAGTATTTTAATACATATTTTGCAAATTAACCATCTCATATAGTTTGTATATAACAGTACACGTAGATCAGTAGGTACTTGAAACAGAACAAGGTTAAATATTTAACACGAGTTTCACGTCTATCGACCTCTACATACTTATAATGTATACTTGTGTATTTAATGACACGGCTACATTAAAGCTTCGTGTTTTGTTTATCAATATATACATACTGTACCATCATCAGTTGATATCATACTGGCGTCGCAGTCTTAAATGAAATTGTATACACACGGGACTATGGATGTACATTTTAGTATTTCTAATCTGTTTAGTAATCCATCTTCGGGTCCTTGTCGCCGCTGTCGGTGGCAATTACCATCGTCTGATCATGTCACTTCCGGTGAAAACACGCGTAAACGTAAACTCACAAATCTAGCTAACGTGTAGATTCTCTGCTTTATTATTCCCCACTGTTTTAAAGAAACTTGATAATAAATTATTCATGTATGCATCTGTTGAAATATTTACAAGTTCAATATTTCAGTTTCTGGATGTTTATCAATCTCGTGTCTGTAATCTTGTGTGCAAAGACTAAAATCGACAACAACAGAATAATGATGCTGATATATATCTATAGTAAAAAAGAATTCTTAATGATTTTCAGGTTGGGGTTATTTCTTTCGTTGTTTTTAAAATGATAAAACGATTCTCACATGAGAACGTGATATTATTTATTTAGATAAACCTAAGATTTATTCGGTGCATACTGTCAACATAGCAGAGGACATATATCCTTTTAAAACAACTGTTGGCAGTGACGTAGCAATAATGAATGCTTGTAGGCTTAGACATAAATTCGAATTAAATTGAGATTTTTTTTCTTACTATTGTTTCTGCTTTACTTCGCCCCTAGACCCCCCACCAGGTCTTCACCCCTGGACCCTGTCTTGATAGCATACACGCTTTAAAAAATTACTGCGCCACTGGTTGGTATGCATGTAATTTTTTGATACGTATGTATTAACACTTGCACGTGTTTAATCAATTTGATACATTATGAATAAGTCTACACATAATATACGTATAAAGTATAATTAATAATATTAGCGAGGTCGTATTTTCGCTATACCCAAAATAATTTAAAGATAACACGAAAGTTGATACTCTATAAATCTTTTAACAGTGAATGGAAAACTCAGAAAATATCTGCTTTATCTGTATATACTGACACAAATTCATAGACAGACTCGAAATTAAATATATTTATCGGTGAAGTAGCCCAAACCTGACAACCGCAAAATATATGCTTCGCGAAAATTAGACAATTATACGGTATGTGTTTTAACGTAAGTACTTGTAGCCTTTTGTGGCTATGCGTTGGGATGGTGTTAGAAGTCAATAAATATCACTTAAGTTTTATGACCGATACTGCTATGTTCAATAGACAAACAACTTTTATGATTCAGTTATATTGCTTTGAACGTGTTGCTTTAAAATTGTCACATTTGCATATTTGAGAAGAAGCTTGATGACAAATTACACATGGCTGCCTCTAGTTCATCAATATTTTAGAACATTGAGACAGTTCAGCTTATATATGGTTGTACATTTGTAGGTGTGTTGTAAGGTTAGTATACAACTAGCTGACACAGCTCAATTTACCCGGGATTAACGGTTAAAGGTTTTAGTGCTTAAATCGTTGTGATTAGACAATGGAAATTACCTTTGTTTACAATGGATTTTAATCTGCCGTTGTTAACGGGTCGCGTATCGAACCGAAGGAATGGTTTTCTCAACACTTGTTAAACATCGAAACTGATCGGAAAAATATCAGTTCGGGAAAAGAGAATGATTTTTGTGTATGCTTTTAATCATATCTTAAATGAAGGAAGACATCTCTATTTCTAGTTTTCTAAAGGAAGGACATCGTTATGTAAGAATTTGATTCTGAACTTGACGCAAGATTGATTATGACAAGCTCCACTTCCCAGCGTGCTCAATGAAAGGTGAGGACGCATTTG